CAACTATTATTTCTTGAAAATTAAAAACTATTTATATTTTATACAGAAAATTAGTTTATTGGAAAAAAATGCTGGTTAAAAACTATCAGCAAAATGGGATGTTTACTCGAGTATTATTAAATTACCTGGCTATCCGGGTAATTTATTATAGCCATATAATAAAAATATCTACCCGAGTACAATCTCTAGTTCAGAGGTATAAAATAAGCGGATATGAAGAAATTAAGCAAACATTAAATAATAATAACTTAAAGAGTCCAAGAACTATTAAGTGTTCGCTAATACGTATTTATAATCAAATATGTAAATTAATCAAAGAAATCGCCAATTTTTATTGGCTGATCAATATCTAAATCACTTGCATAAATCTGTACAAATATGTGTAAAAAATTAACAAAAAAAATTGCCAAATTCTAGACACTCTAGTCATGAATGACTCTTAGTATGATAAAATTAATCATCTGTCACGAGTGTACTGTACATTTTCACCAATCATTTTGTTTATGTGATTATGAGGTAATAATTTTATGCATACGTAGCTACTATTATCAGATCACCATATTATTGGAAATTTCCAGATAGCTGTAGCTATTTTAAAAAGTTGTGGAAAAGAATAGATAATAGAAATCATTTTACATCTAATTTTCTGCATGTCGGATTCTGTGCTGATCATGTTAATCATCACATGTGTAATATCCAATTGACCATGAATTCTAAGTAAACAATTTTATTAAAATTTTTTTAAATTTAAAAATGAATATCTTTACAACTTGCTAATTAAGTCTAATAATTTTTTTATTTTAACTCTGATGTGCAGAATTAAAATAAAAAAAATTCCATTAGATGGTTGTCAAAATATATGTATATTTGTTTAAAGTTGAGTCAGAATTTAAAACGTTTAATTAGAAGCTGCAGCAAATTTATTTTAAAACTTAAATCAGGCAACCACATGTGGAATTCAATGAATTTTTTTATTTTAATTATATAAACCAATAGAATTAAAAAAAATTTCATTGAATTCCATCAGGTGACTATCAAGATAGCTTCATTTAAAGTTTAAAAAAATTTGATAAACTTCTATTGATAGATGTTTTAAATCTTAGCTCAACTTTAAACAAGATATCTCGACAACCGCCTAATGAAATTTGATAAATTTTTTTATTTTAATTCTACAAACTAGTAGAATTAAAATAAAAAATTTTTATTGAATTCCATTGGGAAGTTTTCAAGATATCTTTGTTTAAAATTTTAAAGAATTTTACCATAGCTTTTAATTGATGAACATTTCAAATCTTAACTCAACTTTAAATGAAGATATCTTGAAAACTACCTAATGGAATTCGATAAAATTTTTTTATTTTAATTCTGTAAACTAGTAGAATTAAAATAAAAAAATTTCTATTAAATTCTATCAGAAGGCTATTAAAGTATCAAAGTTTTAAAAAAAATTTACCGCAGCTTCTAATTGATGAACATTTTAAATCTTGATACAACTTTAAACAAAGATATCTCAACAACAACTAATAGAATTTAAAAACTTTTTTTTATTTAATTCTACAACCTAGTAGAATTAAAATAAAAAAATTTATCGAATTCTACCAGGTCACTATCAAGATATTTTCATTTAAAGGTTAAAAAAAAATTTTGCTGAGCTTCTAATTTATAAATATTTCTCAACTTTAAACGAAGATATCTCGACAACTTCCTGATGGAATTCTATAAAAAAAAATTATTTTAATTCTTCAAATCAGTAGAATTAAAATAAAAAATTATTAAATTAATTAGCAAGTTGTAAAGATATTCGGGCACTTGAAGAATAAGTACCCCAGTGATTATCACTTCATGTGAAATCATGCAGTAGGTAGAAATAGGGTTTAAGTAGATTTAGAATTTCTTAGTTAAGATAGGGTTAGGAATAAGTTTAGGTTAAAAGTCTCTAAACAGGTTTTTTTTTTACTATCTTTACTAAGATTTATAGTACAATTTATATATGATATTACAATAATTACCAATAATAATAATTAAAAAAAGGGACCTGTTTAGAGACTTTTAACCAACCCAGTATGATAAAATCAACCCTAAAATTCTAAATTCTGTTTCCACTTACAACTTAATTCTGGTTCAATTTGTAGAGTATTTAAATGATCTGCAAATTTACCAGAATTAGATTATTTTGACAAAGATCAATGCCCTAGTGTAACCAAATAAAAAATCTGTGTGATCATGATTAACATCATCCTAATGTTTGTATAACTTTCACTTGTGTGTATAACATAAAACATGTGACGATTCTTGATATTTTTTATATCTTCTAGTGATAGTTTCTCGACAACTATCTAATTAATATTAATAAACTTTTTTATTTAATTCTACAAGCAGTAACACTACTATTTTCTGCTTGATTAATATAAATGCTGCTATTTGTTTGTTTTTTTTCTTATATTTTTACTCTCTGATACTCTACTGTATATTTAATTTGCATACTACTATATTGAATTTTTGATGCCTTTTGTGTTTTTTGTTTCGATTTTATATATATCTTGCTGAAGAATTTTATAAAGACAAGCTATTCCAAGATTATAATATGCAAAAATGTTTAAAAATTCTATTGTGTCATTTCTGGTGTATTCTTAAAAAATTTTATGTGTTTTGGGATCTGGTAAAAAAAAGAGTAATAAATAATTTATTTAAAAATTTTTACGAAGCTTTTTCTATAATAATATAACTTTTTTTTTCTTAATTATTATTATATCATCTAAATACTTTGAAATTAATAACTTTAACTGCTTTCTTTTTGCTTAAGCAAAATATCTGTTTTACAAACTTTACCTCAAAATGTTCTAATGCTTTGTTAAAAGCAAAGTAATGTCTTAGTATAGTTAAATTAACTGAACAAACATATCAGAGTAGCTCTTGAAGATGTGGATCTTTGTTAATATAAAACAAAAAATATATTATCAAACTAGTATAGTTAACTTTACTAGCAACTAGAAAGAGAGATACAAATGCTATAAGATTTTTTATTTGCATTCTATAATTTCTCTAGCAAATATCAATTTTATGCCCAATCCAGTAACCAACCTAGCAAAAATAATAATAGCAAACTTTTAGAACATTATTTTCACAACTTTTAATATTATTCATATTTGATTTATAGTATATAAATGTTTACTAATTACAATACCAATAGTGATTCAAATTAACTTTAAAACTTGACTAGTGGATTGATAACTATTTATACTTACTAGTTTATCTAAATACTAAACTCTAAGCTTTATAGCTATATTTGCAATATCATATCTAGAAAAAATATTCATCAATATGATATATGCTATTGGCTCAAAAGAGAACTTGCATCTTTATTTTTTTCTTTGTATGAGATCAGCTTATAGAAAATTGCTTGATCACAGGCAATATTCAAACATCCAGTATTACATATGCTCGTATCACTATAAAACAAATCACATATATTATAGATATTTATATTACAGTTAGAGTTGTTTCTAGAACTAAAAATAATGACTTTGAGGTGGCGTCTGGCACCCAATAGAAATATTTTTAAAAACTTTATTTAATATACTATCTACATCTTAATTTTTATCACTTGTAGTTAAAAAATTTTGGAATATAGTCTCATAAACTTTAAAAAGATCACAGGTAAAGTTCCAAAAAGAGACTAGTTAATTTTATAATTACTATTACTAATATTTATATGATTATAATATGTAGTTGTATAGATATAATAAGCTGAAAGACTATATGTAGTGTAGCATAGTATATGTAGTTCTTTATGCTGCATTATAGATATTCTCAAAAGCAAAAGTTTTTCTATAAAATCAATATTATCTATTACTAATATGTTCTATATATAAATATTGTGCAACAACCTTGTTTCAGATTTTGGTTATCAGAGTTTTTCAAGGATTCTTTCATGTTGCTATGTATATGAAACAATATTAGCTATGCAAAGTATGTTTAATAAAGAATAGTATAGTTTGGATTTCTTATACAAAGAACTTATTATATAAGTTAACTATATATTCATTTCTAGGAATACAATATTTAGTATTATTGAGATAAGAAACACAGAAATTTTTACTACATGATCCTTGTCAAAAGCTTTTAATTAAGATTTTTTTTTTTATAAGCACTTTATACTTTTTTTTTTGTAAAGTTTTAATAAATCTATTAAAAATATTAACAATGCATAATGGAAACCCATTTTGATATACTATCAGATAACTTAAACTTTCAAGATTTATTTTTTTTTGTTTTGTACTTTATTTTGTGCATTCTATATCACTATTTTTAATGCTTTTTCTAATATTGGTACTGTTTTAGAGTTAATGTCATATTTTTGATCCATGATATTCATTATGTTAATATAACTTAGTCTTAAAAACAATTTAACAAATAAAAGACTAGATAACTTTGTAGTTACTAGAAATAATTTAGTATTGAAAAATGTTAGCAAAACAGAAATCAAATATATTAAGAGTGCTTCTTTCTTGCCCTTATCAGCAATTTCAGCTATATGCAAAATCAATATTCTAAATTTGAAGTCCATCAGTTGTATTATTTTTGTATAAATTTTTATATTTAAAGATTGGGCTTTTACAGCTATACCATTTATAAAAATATACTTTTTCTTTAACAAAATATTCTAAATATATTAATCTGAGTTGATATTTAGTTTCCTGATTATTTATTATATTTTTTGATTTTTTTTCTTCAAATATAAGGAAAGCTTTAAGACCAATACAAGGTGTTTGTATATTTTTTCTAAAGACACATTGTGAATGTTGTACACAAGTCCTACTTTTGCTAAAAAAAATAGTTGTATTTATTACAAAATAGACAAGATTAGCAAAATATTCAACTTTTATTAATTGATCTTTTATTTTTAGTATGTGGTTGATAAAGCTAATTTTGGTCAAAAAAAATATAATTGACAAATTGTTTGTTGCTTTAGCTTATTAAAAAATCTCGAAATTTATTTTCTATACTTTGACAAATTGTCCAAGCAGTCTTTGTACTTGTGAATAACTTCTACAATATTTAATATTACTATTAATAAAATCTAAAATTGGACAAGCTAACAATTATTAATTAAGTTTCATATTATCTAAACAAGATACTCATTTTCATATTTTAGATTGGCTGCCAAGAATAATGCTAAATTATAGCCTTCTATATTAATATCAGTATCATTATTTTTTTGTAAAATATTAATATCTGTCTCTTCTTTTGCTTTAGCAAGTTCATATGCTTGATCAAAGCTAGTAATATTAAACAAAAATAGATTCAATTATAGATGATCCTCATTAATATCAACCTATTTGAACCTGTTCTAAATTATCTTGATAGTGATATTTATATTAAAGTTAATTTATAAAAGAAAATTTTGATATATAAAAATTCATAAAAATTTAGTTTTTAGCTTAGATTGATATTAACAAAGTTGATATTAATAAGGTTACATGTATATGTCAAAATTAGATTTATCTGCTATAATATTATCTGTGTGATAGTTTTCAATTCAATAGCTAGGCTTGTATTTTCAGTATTTTCCTTATAATCCTCTATTACATATTCAAAGTTATTAAAATCAAAGATTTCAATATTGTAAGTTTTTAATTGTATTGTATTTATTATTGTATTTTTTTAATATATTTGAAATATGATAATAGAAGGATTTAAGAAATATGATAAGGCAATTTAAAAAAAATATAAAATGTTTCAAAAAATATAATAAAGTAAAAATTCAAATAAATTTGTATAAACTAGCACTTTGATAATAATGATAAATTTCTATTGTCATATACTAATTCTAGCTAGTATTCCTAGTTGGTAAAAATTTGCTAATAGATTAGTTAAAAACTAATCGATTATTAGTATTGTATAACTAATTAGTTGTTTAGTTAAATAGTTAATATAAAAAAATTAGTTATAAATAAAAAAAATATTATTATATTTTATAATCTTGTACAAATTGTATAAGCACTTTATGCAAAAAAAATTTAATATTTTGCTTTTAGTAAATAAATAATAACATAATGTATCTTTTCTAAATAGATTTATAAGATTTTTATTTTTTTAATATATTCAAATAATTTTTACCAATCGATATTCAAATAAGCTTAAATTTTCAGATTTAAGCAAAAATTTAACTATTTTTTTTACCTTTTAACTAATTCTTCAACTTTTAACAATGTATAAATATTGCTTAGATAGAATAAAAAAAGACTTCTACAAAATTTAAGTAAAATAAATGATTCTGAAAAAGATATTTAATAAGAGATACTAAACAAACAAGCTTGAGTTATAATTTAGATGAAATAGTTAAAATTATATAAAAAAACTCTAACTCTAACCTAAAACTAACTATAAACTATACTATGACTCTCACTCTAACCCTAAAATTGTCTTTATACTCACCAAATTAAGATAAATAAATAAATTTCAAATGCACTATTAATAAGTTAGATAAGATAAAATAGAATAATTAATTAATAACACAATTAATGCTAATGCCAGTAATTGAAAGTATATTAATGAGAATATTTTGAGTAAAGTTTATATTCTCAAATTTTTAGTATTAGCTATTTTTAGTACTGCAGCAATTAAAATTATACTTACTAAGTTAATGCAGATAAATTAACCTGGAATGCACTATTAAAGATAAAAATTTGAAATCTTGAGTTTGAATTTTTTAATTAAATAATAAATAAAAAAATATTATACTCATCAAAATAATAAAAATCAAATAACTAGAGAGATGCTTTTAAGAGCAAATATTTGTAAGCTTGATTTATAAAGTTTAAATAAGATAATAGACTTAATTTGAAATTCTATCAACTCACTATCAATTCATAGATACTAGACAATTAGTTACTAACAAGTTCATTTTACTAACAGTTTATTTCATTAAAGCTCATTTTACAGAAAAGTAATTCTTGTTAAAATTATTAGAATTAGGGTAGAATTAAAGTTTAAGTTAGTGTTAGTGAAATGAGCTTCAGTAAAATAGGCTATTGGTAAAATGAACTTGTTTGTGAATAATTGTAAGTAAAATATTATGTCTATTAAGTAATTGTCAGCAAAATAATATAAATCTACCAAACTTAATACACACTATAACAGTGATAGTAAATGACCTGAAATGACCCAAATAACCCAAATAACAAATGACCAGTCATTGGGTCATTTCAAAGGTAAAATGACCTAGTGGGTCATTTGAATTTGATTGGTGAATCGCGCAGGGGCATTAATTCGAATTTTGGCCCGAATTAAGCTTAATTTAGGCCGAAATTCGAAATTATATCCCTGTATGTTATTTCACACTTATACAGTATATTATAATTAATAAATATCTGCATATAAGTATTAGAATTTTTTTGTTTTTTTTTTTTTTTTACTACTAGCTTATTTTTTTGTAGTGCTATTTCATAGTTGCTGTCGTCGTTGGTGCCGCCGTTGGAGTTGACGTTGTGTTGTCGTTGGTATCACCATTGGTATTGAAATTAGTGTCATTGGCATCATCATAATTAGGTTTTAGTTGAGGTGTACTTGTCATATTTTTCGTGTTTCGCTTTTGTTTTGCCACGTTATTAGTGTTATTGTATGGTAAGTAACGACATAGGGGTTTTTTACAGTCACACTTTTGGACTGTTGTTTTGTTGTTTGCTGGTGAAGTTGGAATTGGTGCTTCATCTTGATAAGTATAGACTTTTTTTTTTTGCTATATTACAATTTCTTCTTTCATTAACCAGTT